ACCTCTGCAATGCCCTGAATTTAATTCATAGCAACACACAGACACAAAGAGACTAATGCACACACACACACACACACACACACACACACACACACACACACACACACAGAGACTAATGCACACACACACACACACACACACACACACACACCCACACCAATGGACTGAATTGCTCTGTGACTTACCTGGCTGACAGCATCTGGTCAAGGGCAGGCACGGTCAAGTGCTCTTCCTTGCATGAAAACACCTGACTACAGATGTCTTCACTGTAAGTCTAGGTGAAGGAGAGCTTTGGGAGCCTCTGTCAGATCCACAGGGTGCCATAGAAAAGCTGTTGGCCATTTCTAATTCTTTCACAAGGGTGGAAAAGCTAACTAGAGACAAAGCCAGCTGGTCTAAAATGAACCTGTGGTTGGATGAAAAGCACCAAGTAGCAGAAGGCAACAGGAAGCACACACCTGTGTATCAGGTGTGAACAGAGAGGTCTTTCAGATGTAAGAGGAGGAGTGATGGCTGAGGGGAAGAAAGAGCAGTTATCTGGCCAACTGTTGATGACTGAGCACTAAAGCAGCCTTTATGCTTATGGACACTTTCAGCCTTCTTAGACTTGAATATTCAGGCAGAGGTAAGAGATAAAAACTCAGAATTGACTAGAATTAAGTGGCTACTGACAAATGGATGGAACAGAACTAAAATGACTGCTTTGTTGTAGGACACTATAAGAAGCTGGATAATCTAAGCTTATGAATGCAGCTCCAATACCACAGATGTTACATAAAATGTCAACAACATGGTTTCTTTTTGCCAATGCTTGTACTTGGGGCCTCATGTTCACTTGGCCTGCTTGCTCATGGCTGGCCCTCTACCACTTGAGCCATGTCTCTAGCCTGGCTTTTTGCTGGGTGAGAAAAATGGAGAAGCCACATTTTGAAGGATTGAATAAGGAGTCTTTATTAAAAGGCTGGTGAATGCATGGTAGAAACCTGTTTCAGAGACCAGCAGCCAGAAAATACACAACACTTAGGAAACTGAGCCATGAAGGCCAAGGGGAAAGAAAGAACAAAAACATTACCATCAAATCAATTCAGCTCCAATGGAAAGCTGAAGTGGGAAACCATGGTGACCAGAGAAGAGCCAGGAGCCAAGAGGCAGAATACAAACACGGAAACATGTGGCATAAATTCATGGCGCCTGAGCTGGTCTGGTCCTAAATACGGTAAGGTCAGAGGGCAGGGTCCCAGGAAACTTGAGTCCCAAGCCCTGGACTGACAGGTTTAGTAACTTATCATCCAAGTCCCCACCCCTGCCTCCAGGGATTCAAGCATGCCCATTATGGGGAAGAGAGGGGAGATTAGAGAGGATCTTCACCTTCCCCAATCACGAAGACAAGATACCAGATCCTACCAACCAGCATGTGGCCAAGATGGTGCTGGCCAGATCTGATCTCCCCAGTTCAAATTGTAAATGGGGTCTCACAGACTTTTCTGCCTGGTCTAGTTTTGAACCATGACAGAACTCAGTCTCTTGAGTATCTAAGATTAGAGGTATGTCCAGCAGTAATCTAATCTCATTTCACAGAGAAATTTCACTCTGTACCTCTCAACTCATTGCCAGTTGTCTTATCTGAGACTGTAGGAAATCTGAGTTGAAGAACCATTGATCCTTTTTGAAGTATGAAGAGACTGAGTCTATCTAGATGTATTTAGTCCCTGGACAGCTAATGGACAATTTAAAGATCAGGTATAATCCACTCAGACCAACCTTACTTCCATGGTTCTTTACTTCTATCGATTCTCAGCTCCATGGAAAAATGATCCAAAGTGCTGAGGCTGAAAACATGGCCTTGAAGAGGTGGCCTTGACCCCTCTCTGTCTTGCTACCCATGGTAAGTCTTCAGAAAGTCACTCTTACTACCAGAGCGTTGTTTCTTCATCCTTGAGAGAACTCAAAGTCTAGCGTTGTTATAAGGAAGAGTTTTAGGAAGTAGATATTTTCTGAAAAAAATTATAAGGTATGATTATTTTTAGACCAGATTGAATTCCTTAGAAAGGGGGTTGAGAAAAAGTTTCTCTTTGCAGCATAATAGAGTGTTATAGAGGAACGATAGGGCTTTAAATCTCAGTGCGAAAATGGATATTGCCTTGCCTATTCTGTAGAGGAGAGCCTGCCTTTCATCCACCGAGCCCTGGAGCTGCAGTTTTAACATTATACCCTTAATCTAGAAGGAAGTCTCTGACAACCTCATCAGGCTGTTGAATTTTCTCCTAACCTACAGGGAATGAGTGTGCTTTTTCTTATCTCCCCCCAGGTTTCCCCCCCCCCCCCCCCCGTGTATATTAATGAGAGAGAAAGACATATAACTCCTGGCTACACACACACACACACACACACACACACACACACACACACACACACATCTTGCATTTTGAGGCATCTGTCTTTTGGAGCACCAACTCTGAAGGAGAAGGAGCTCAATTCAAGAAAGAGAATGGAAGCCAAAAAGGAAAGAGGCCAACAACTCCATGCTTTTGTAAAAGTCAATCACCTGTGTTGTAGAGATGTCATGAATTTGGTATATTCTTTGGAAATTGTCTACCAATTAGCTCTAAGACTCAGATAAACCTTCCTTTACCTCATTGGACATTACTTTTTCCCATATGCAAACTAAAGACTAGGCTGTGGTAATTGGAAGTAGATGGCTGTTGCTGTATCCCCATCAAACAACATCTTGCTCGGTTGATGGCCTCCACAGTTCCTCAAGAGTCTATATCTTTCCCCATCTCAAGGGCAGAGATTTCAAGGGCAGCTTCCTCTAGCTGAAGCTCCCAATGTGATTCATTCAGAAGACTGCCGGTCCCACCACCATGGACCACAGGGATTGGTTAGTACAGTGGTGGTGGGAAGGGGAAACAATCAAGTGGACCCAAGAAGATCAACCTGACAATATAGTTGGAGAGACAGGAAAGGACTCACTGAGTAGAGAAGATATAGCAGGCCAGAGAATGGCATGATCAGGAAAGCAGAGTTGGGAAATGGAGAGTTGTCCCAATGACATTGTTTGAGGCCCATGATCTAACTGGGCCTTAACTCAAGCCCCTGGACTTACCCTTTCTGCATGAAATCTTTTGTGTTGTCTTCCACATGTAGTCCTAAGAATTGTCATTAGCCAGGTACTGTTAGCTCATGCCTCTAATCCTAGCTACACAGGAGGTTGAGATCTGAGGATTGTGGTTTGGAGCCAGCTTGGGCAAAAAAGCCTGTTAAGACTTTTATCTCCAATTAACTACCAAAGAAGCCAGAAGTAGAACTGAGGCTCAAGTGGTAGAATGCTAACCTTGATCACAATAGTTCAGGGATAGTGCCATAGCCCCTGAATTCAAACCCCAGGACTGGCATAGTGGCACACACACACACACACACACACACACACACACACACACACACACACACACACACACACACGACTCTAAAATATAGCTTCAGAAGCAGAGCTGTGGCTTAAAGCAGTAAAGCACCAGCCTTAAGGGGAAAAGCTCAAGGACAGCACCCAGGCCCTGAGCTTAAGCCCCATGACCTGAAAAAAAAGGTTCCATTGTGTCATCTGATATTCTAGAAGTTCTTCTTATACGGGGTCCTTTTCCCCCCAGAGCTGCTATGTAGGTGTGTTGACTGTTGTTTTTATATATTTCATTTTCCTTGGGTCTCATTCAGAGAGCTCGGTGCAGAGCAGGGATCTTTGTCCCTTCTCAGCTTCCTCTCTTCCTGTTTTCCTTTCTTTTTATTTACTGGGATGGGAAGTGACAGGGTGCTGAGCTGAATCAATAAAGTCTCTGGATTTCCTCCTCCATTTATCGGAAGAGACAAACTCTATAGAGCCCCTCTATGCTCTAATGTGTCATGGGTGATATAAGAAATGTGGGTAGCAGAACAGCAATGGTCTGGGAAGAGCACCACCACTGGCTAGCAGGGGAGGGGAAAGACGTCACGAAGGAGATGGGTCTGCAAATATGTCCTCTTGTGTGCTCCAGGGCTGATAGAGCAATTCACTCTGTCAGTGAGGGCTGTGAGGCAATAAACGGGCAGCATGTTCAAAGAACTACATTTAATCAGCTGCATTCGGCTCTCACGTAGAATGAAGCAAAGTGGTGAGAGATGCAGCTGGAGAGGTTGGAAAGGGGCCAAAAGAAGGACGCTGTATGCCAGACTCCCTTTAGCCTAGGGTGAAACATCTCCCTTGTAGATTTCCAAGACACTCCATAATGCACACATAATTATCCCCCCATTCTTTCTCTTTTTTATTTACTTCATAAATATTCAGGTTCCAGGGACTCAAACCCCTTTGGGGGGGGAGGGGGAGTATAACCCTGGAACTTACATTTTGAAACGCAGGTCATGCTTACAATACAAAACAAAACAAACAAATTCAACGATGGGGACACTTGTCTAGGAAATAGGGATTGCTAGGTATGCCATGTCCTTACTTCACAGTAGATACTGAAACTCCATGCTAACAAGATGATCTCCATCACCCTATCGCTCTACCTTGGTCATCTGTGTTCTTTCTAAGGAAGACTCTTATAACCCTTAAGTCTCCGCCACAACTTTCTCTTCTGGACTCCCCAAAGCATTATTTACAGCTCATTGACTCTACCCTGCTTCCCCCCCTAATGTATTCACAGAGATAAAGCATGCATTCCTTTACTTTCAAAATGCTTATAAACTTTTGGAAGCCAGGGCCTCTTAAGGACCTATTTATTATATGGCAGACACTCAAGTTATAATATCTCCTCTCATTCTTCCCACAATTCCAAGAGATAGGTTTGATTCTTGCGCTCCACAAGTAAGAAACCTGAAGCAGCCTGGTGTGCCCAAGGGCGCAGAAGCTAAAGTTCTGAGTACTGTGAGCCTTCCTGACTTGCGTTCCCTGGCAGGGAGACACTGCTACCAGGTGGCTGTGGCACCTGAGAGAGCACCATGTTTCTGGGCCAACAGGCACTCACCACACATCCCGAGGAGTCCACCTGGCGATCAGACACGCACTTGAAGTTGCGAGTGCAGCCCCCATTGTTCCGAGCGCAGTCACGGACTGGCCCGAAGGAAGACAGCAGGTCATTGATGGTTTCAAAGTATGTGGACAGCATCGCTTCTTCCCTTGGAGAGAAAGGGGATGGTTAAAGCACAGAGACAGCTGCATCACCACATTACATATTTAACTTGGACTCATTTCCTGCGTGATTATGATTTGCTTGGCTTTGTTGGGTTTTGGTTTGTTTGTTTGCTGGTACCAAAGCTTGAACTTGGTGCCTTGAGCTCACTGTGCTGACTCAGGATAGTACTCTACCACTTGAGCCACACCTTCAGCCTAGTTTTTTCTGGTTACCTTTTTTCAGATGGAATCTCAGACTTTTTCTGCTTGGGCTGGTTTCCACCTCAATCCTCTGATCCTAGCTTCCTGAGTAGCTAGGATTATAGGAATGAGCCATCAATGCCCAGCTTGATACCTCATTTGTTTTATTTGTAATCACAAGAATAACACAAATACATGGTTAAAAAGAGGGCAAAAAGTAGGTATACCATCACACAGTTCCTAAGACATGTGTGAAAAAGAGAAACAGACTCAGGACTTTACAAATCTTATTTCATTATTTGCCATAAACTCGGGAGGTTAGGTGTGAGATTTCCATCTTACTAATAGGTGAATTATGTCTTAAAAACCTGAAATGCCTTACTAAAGACCACCTTCCTTAGAAAGTGTCCAAAACTAAGTTTATACCAAGTTTGACCTCAAAAGAAAGACTCCATGAAGAGCTCAACTAGTATAGTCTTTTAGAAAGACAAAGTTGAAGTCCAACAAAATCAACACTAGGAAATGGACACATCCAATGGGGCCAAGGGGAGAGGGGAAGACAAGGGAAGGGGGAAGGGAGAAGAATGCAGTCAAGAATTCATTATATATAATGCCGGGCGCTGGTGGCTCTCGCCTGTAATCCTAGCTATTCAGAAGGCTGAGATCTGAGGATCGAAGTTCAAGGCCAACCTGGGCAGGAAAGTCCGTGAGACTCTTATCTCCAATTAAACCACTAGAAAACGGAAGTAGTGCTGTGGCTCAAGCAGTAGAGAGCTCGCCTTGAGCTGAAGAGCTGAGGACAGCGCCCAGGCCCAGAGTTCAAGCCCCACAACCGACCAAAAAGAATTCATTATATATAAAGGTTTGAATGTAGCTCAGTGGCAAAGCATTTGCCTAGCAAGTACAAAAAAAAAATCCCAAAACCCCAGTCATTGTATAAACCACAAATTAGGATAAGGGAGGGTTGGTCCAAGGAGGGGTGAGAATGTTGATCAAGATGCACTGTATTCATAAACTGCTTTCTTAGATGGCAATTCCTTGGTACAACTACACAATGATAATGAAAAACAGTTTTTAAAGAGTCTTCCCATTATGTAACTAGTCAGATTGGCTTTTACAACTTCTAGAGGTCTCTATGGCAACTGTATGATTGTATAGATCCCTATACCAACGTTATTATGCCAACCTGGTATTCAACTCGTAAAACTGAAGCTGTGGAAGATTGTAGGCTAATTCCAAACAGCACATTCTATAAACAGCAAGGTGAGAACCCAAACATAGTCTGGCACTAAGACACTAGGACATTGTTTTTCAGATTATTGCTTGTAAGCCACACTGTCAGGACTGTTAACAATGGTGGTTTGTCCAAAATAAGGATCCCAACACATGAATGGACTACATAACCTTTTTCTATGAATCTGCTAAAATTCAATCCGATAGAATTCTATAAGATGAAGCCTATAACACAGAGGATACAGATGAGAATTTCTGATACTATGTTTTGAAGGAAGAGCCCCCCCTGCAACAATGGGTACCCCACACTGGAATATGTATGATTCCCACAGTTGCAAGGAATGTTACACAGACAGTAATAAGAGACATCATCTTCTTCCATGATCCATGACTCAGTACAGAGCTGCAAAAAAGGGGGAATGCAAAGAGCAGGAACTGCCACACTACTGGTACTGTCTATGCACCATTCCTTCCTTCTCCCTTGTTTTCCCCTCCTCAGGCTTTACCACAGCTTGGATCTTCTAATTCATTTCCTGTCTCCTATCTTACCTCTTTCTGTTCCGTGTTTTATTCGGCCTGCCAGTGTACCCAGTGAATCTGAGCTCTAATTAGATACGTGTCTGATCAATAGTTCTCCAGTACTTACAAAGGAGTCTATAAATTAGTTTCCTCGGTTTTCGAGGGTCTTGGTAATCTGATCCCTGACTACCCATTCAGCTATATTTAGCCAGTCCTCATCTCCTTTATCCCCTATCCACATGCTGCTTCTTATTCCTTGAACATACAATCTTAGGTCAGTTTACCTTCAACAGGCTCTGAAATGTAGTTATATACAGAAGGCTCATTGTAGAGGCCCCTTAGGAAATACATCGGTACAAAGTGACACAGGCAGGATTCAGTGAAGGACTTACAGTGTGGATTTGAAACCTCATCCGATTCTATAGAGAGCTCTGGAGCTGTAGCAGCCCTTTATGTACAGCCAACTTAAAACACAGGACCTAGGGCTTTGCATTCTGTGTCTGCCAGTCAATGGCTAAGGGGACATTTCCTTGAACGAGGCAGGTTCATGTGGCCAAAGGTATTGACTAGGGAAAGCAAAGCACAGTAAGCACATGGCCACAGCTGGGGATTCTCACCAAGTAAATTCCATGCAGATATTCTGAAATCCAAGGAAAACTCTCAGGTGTGAAATACTTCTGGTCTGGAAACATGCTGGGTAAGGAGTATACAACCTGTAGAGAGTGAGGTCTAGCTGGCTTCCTTGGTGCTGGTTTACCCATCTCCCTAGCTGGTTTACCCATCTTCCCTAGAGAAGACTCTGAGATTAAAAATGTTCTAAGATCTGAAACCTTTTGAGCATCATCATGTAAATGGTATCTTCACCTCTCGGAATCCTTCATCTTAATTGTATTTCCTCTTCTGTCTGTGAAGTTCGACTCTGAATTTCTTTCTTATGAAACTCGAAGATGCCTTGAAAGCTTCTCACATCACTCACTCACTCACTCACTCATTCATTCATTCATTATTATCCTACATGCTCATTATGTACTAGGGACACAGTAGTGCCTTTGGATAGGGTCATTATCTCTGTGGTGCTTATTTATTTGCTTCTGTTAGAATTAGTTCCTTCTTCCTTTTGGGCACATTGTTTAAATTGATTATCTTTTTTTCTACCTTAGTTCACCTTAGTTTCTCAAAAACACCATATGCTTTTTAGAGAAGGACTCAGTATTTATTCCTCCCTCTTTTCTCCCCAGCAGAGTCTGGAAGAACACATACTAAATAACACCAGAAAAGAAGACATAGGTGCTGCGTCCACCTACCAGCCTTTTGTTGTTGTTGTTGTTTTTCTGACATTACTGAGGCCTGAACCCAGGGCCATTACCTCTTGCTCAGCTTTTTTTGCTCATAGCTGGCACTCTATCACTAGAGCCATGCCTCCATTTTGACATTTTGCTGGCTAATTGAAGATAAAAACTGTATCTATGTGGGCTTTGAATCATGATCCTCAGATTTCTATCTCTTCTGTAGCTGGGATTACAGATATGGACCATGGGCTCTGACTACAACCAGTCCTTTTTTTTTTTTTTTAAACCAAGACACTGACCAAGATATAGTCCCACTTTGTCCCATTCTGGCTACTCATCCCATATCCTGCTTGTACAGGAGTATAGGATAGAGACAAAGGAGGACTGTCAGATTGTCCATTGTTCTTTAACTTTATACAGGGTAAGGTAACAGGGGAATGAGGAGAATGAATAGTTCCCAAAATGAAGCTCTTGGGAGACTTAACCAAGTTTGAGTCAGAGGAAAACTTTCGGGTCCTGGAGAGACATGAAGGCTATTAAAATATTCACACACTTAGAGGAAACAGAAGTGGAAAGTGGGATGAGCATATAAAGACAGAGAAGAGAGGATCTGACAGAATGGGAGATGGATGTAAAGAGAAACTGCTAGGAAGAAAGACAACAAGTAGAAGCTAGTCATCTCAGGGAAGATGAGTAAAGAGAGGCAAAGAGATGGGCAGACAGAAAAACAGACAGACATACACAGAGGAGGGTCTTAGAGATTAAAGGGCTGTCAAGTGGAAATAGAGAATAGAAATGAAAAGACAGAATAGAAGGAAGAGGGAAAGCACAGTGGTTATGAAACAGATTAAAGTGGAGAAAATATCACGTGCGAGAGAGAGAGAGAGAGAGAGAGAGAGACAGAGGGAGTATTTTGCTGGGGTTTGAACTTGGGGTTTCACCTTTGTTTCACACTTGTTAGGCTTATACTCTACCACTTGACAACAGTCCTTTTGGACTCAGACAACCACCCTTAGGGTTTAAAACCTTGATGTCAGCACCGCAGGTGGTGGGATTTGTGCTTGAACATGCCCAACTACAAAAGCCATGTTCTCCACCACCCCCCACTTGTTATTCTCCTCTAAACTTCTTTCTCAGCTTATTCTCCTCTAAACTATCTTCTCATCTACAAAATGGAACCCATTATCTATCCTGCTCCCAACTATGATTATTGTGAGGTTACAAGAATACGACACATAAAAACGTGTTTTCTAAACTCCCAAACCCAAGGCAAATTTATTCATTATTCATTCATCAATAAATATTTGAGCACCTGCTGCACCCTGGGTAGTGAGCTGATGACTATTCTTTTTTGCTTTGGCCTTGCTGTAGCTACATTTCGAGATCCAAGTCCAGACATTGTCTAAAATGTCTCTGAGCACTGTTCTTAGTTATCCCCAACCCACTCCTCTGCCCTCTCCACCACCAACACCAGTTTCTAACCTGAGTTAGCCAGCCCCCACCAGCCAGCAATAAGAGACTGCCAGCCCCTTGTTATCTGACTGGGTCCAAGAACATCACCTGAGTTGCATTTGGCGGCGCCAGCTCAAGCCCCATGCAGGGTGAGTATCAGGCCGGACAGTCGGGGACAGATGCTGACATGGCTGGCTGTGAATCAGCACCAGGAAAGGTCTGTGGCACTCAAGGAGGTGTGAATGGGTGACTCAGAGCCCAGAAGTGACAAGCTCCCCCTGAACACACACTAATCACTGTCTGGGAACACG